TTGTCTTTAAAAGTCTTTGCTTATACTATCATACATTATAAAATCCAATAAGATACAACCTGTTTAGACCAATGCAGACAGAAGAACAAAAGCTTGATGAGACTTCAAAACAAGATGATACTAAATCAGTATTACCTATTAAGACGTCATTTTCTCCAAAATAGCTGTTCCTATCATCCAATCATCTCTGCCTCATTTCTGTTGAGCTCTTTTTCTGTCATTAGTTGTCAGTTTGTCTTCTTCATTTTGTTTTCTGCTCCATTCATTGTGGCCTCTCTGCCGCTACTTCTGGATTTTTTGTATTTTTCTTTTTTAGAATATCTTGCAGTGTTCTCTGTAGAGTTGAATTGGTGGTTGCAAATTCCCCCAGTTCCTCTTTATCCTGGAAGCACCTTGTTTTTCCATCAATTTCCAGGGACAGTTGTGCAGGATATATCAATCTTGGCTGGAGATTATTATCTTTCAAAGCTTCAATTATTTCCCCCCACGCTCTTCGTGATTTGATGGTTTGTACAGAGAAATCTGCTGTAATTCTGATGGGTGTTCCCTTGTAAGTGGTCTGTTTCTTGTCTCTGACAGTTTTTAATATTCTGTTCTTGTATCGAATTTATGGAATTTTTATTATTATATGCCTGGGTGTTGCTCTGTTTGGGTTGTAGGTGGCTGGGGTTCTGTATGCTTCATACAACTGAGTATCTTTACCTTTTGCTAAATTAGGAAAATTCTCCTGGATTATTTCTGTGAGTAGCTTTTGTAGTTCATTTGTTTGTGTCCCTACTTCTTCTTTTATGTTCTTAATTCTTAAGTTATGGATCGTCTTATCATCTTCTAGTCTTTGTATTATTGCTGTTTGTTTCTTTGTTACTTTTAAGAAGTTTTTCATTTCATTCTCCCATATTACAAATCTGCCCTCCAGTTCAGATAGTCTGTCCTTAGTTTCTTTCAAGCTGTTATGCCAGTTTTCGATAGACTTTTTAGTTTCCTGGTAGTCTCTTTGAACCTGCTTCATGTATTCTATGCTTTCTCTTTTTTCTCCATCAAACAATTCTCCCCTCTTTTTCTGTTCTTCCATTCCACCATCCGTTTTTTCTTGGGTGGTGCTTAGCATTTCTCTAACTATTCTGCTTATGTCTAGCTTCAGGCCATTAATAACTTCATTCCTGAATTCATCTATGAAGCTCTCTAGATGGCGCTTTATGTCTATTGGTGTGGTGTCCGCTCTTGCCTGTTTCTCAGGATTGGAGGCCGAAGGGCCTTTCTTATTGCTCCCTCTTCCCATATTCTTTGTTCCTTATATATGCAAGCGTATATAGGAGGCCCAGCTTCCCTCCCTGTCAGCTACAGCCTGATCGAATTGCGCCGACTAGGTGTTCCCGCCCACCGTAGCACACCAGGAAGTTGCAGACCAGGCAGCCTACGCGGGGCCCGCCCCTCCAGGCCACCCTCAGGCTCTGGGATCTGGGTTGTGCTAGCCTACTGGGTCTCGGCCAGCAGCGTCACGTAGGCTAGGCACTTCTCACCAATCCCGCTTGAGAGGGGGATAGGTGGCTGAAGTCGCTGCAGCGCCCCGCTCCTGCAAGTCTGCCCAGTCCCGGAATGTCCTCTGTTGGAGTCTCCTGGACCGTGGGAGAGTCCCAGTTTTCCCTCACTCACCAGAGGTGGATGCATGGCTCCCCGCCCGTGCTGTTTTTAACTCCCTTTGCTGATTCCTGTTCTCAGAGCTTCCGTGCGTCTCTCTCCCTGCCGAGCCAATGTAGACGCAGCCGCCACGTGGTGGGAAATCCAAATCATGGCTTCCAATGGCGCGGGCTTCAGCTTCCACACTGAGGCTTTTCTGTTCCTGTTATAGCATCAGGATTGCATTCCAAGTTGGTTTCTCTCAGCCCGTTCTTGGGTCAGCAGGGCATATCTCCACTTGCTTATGATTCCTTACTCCGCACCATTCATGAATTTTTAGCTGGGTCTTTCAGAGAGCCTCTGTAGCTGCTGCTATCTGTCCGCCATGTTCTCCCAGAAGCCCCGCATTTTTTATTCTTAAGTTATAGATCCTGTTGTCATTTTCTAGCCTTTGTATTGCTATTTCCTGTTTCCTTGTTACTTTTAAGAGACCTTTCCTTTCATGATCACATATTGCAAGCCTGTCTTCAAGTTTTCATAGTCTATCTTTAGTTTATTTCAGGCAGTTTTGCAATCTTTCAATGTAGTTTTAAATTTCCTGGTAGTATCTTTCAATATGTTTCATGTATTCTACACTTTTTTATATTCTTCATCAAAGGTTTCTCTCCTTTTTCTGTGACCCTCCATTCTTCCATCTGTGTCTTCTTGAGACGTGCTTAGCATTTATTTTATTAGACTTCTTATATCTTGCTGTACTTGTATTAGTATTTCTGTTTTGAGGTCTTCTATAATGTCACAAAGATATTTCTTTATGTCAGCTGATGCTGTTTCCAATACTTCATGTCTGCTATCCTTGATCTCTTCTGTAATTACCTCTCCTAGACCCATACTGTTTGAATTGGTAGCTGAAGACAGATTTTTCTTTCTTTCTCTTGTTATGTTTCTGGTTTCTTCCTGACAAGTGCATAGTGTGGGTCCCAGGCCCTTTCTGTATTGGTTATGATTTCTTTGAAGTCAATGGTGAGGGATTTCTGCCCTCTCCCATTTGCTGTTGATCAGTGAGGTACAAGCAGGGGTAGTGCAGGCTGGCCCCTCCCCTCTGAGCCAGTCAACCATGTGAGTCTTCACCATCTTAGTGTGTACTGCACAGATGGAACTGGCTCAGGACTGTTTCAGGGGCAACTTCATCCCTGGCTATTGGGTCCCGTTCCAGGGGCATGACCCAGTTGAAGCAGTTCCCACCAATCTGCTCTGCATCAGGAGAGGCCAAATGAAGCAACTACAGTTCCAGATTCAGGCCCATCCTGCCTGATTCCAGCATGTCACCCAGCTGATCACCACCTCCTGCAGGAGGACCAAATTCCAAGCACTCACCACAGGCTAGTGTAGATCTCCATGCCAGCTCCATTCTCTGTTGTTACACACCTTCCTACTAAGGTCCTCAGGCTCAAAAACCCCCAACTTCAGCAGGACTGTGAGTTGTTGGACTCCAGGGTGCTTAGGGCAATGTGGGAGCACTTCTGTTGAATGAAAGTGCATCTGGATTCAGGCTTCCACCCATGTTTTTCTTTCATTTTTCCTTGGCTTTTTCCTGAGTCATGAGAATCCCTCTCCTTTTTTCTGGTCTTCTCCATGGCATTAAATTCTAGCATCTTAGCTGTTTCTCTCAGAGAGCCTCGCTATCTTGCTACTTATTGATCTGCCATCTTCCCCACTAGTCTATATTTCTCTTTTGAGCATCCGTTCTTACTTCTGAGGCTTCCTCAGATCCACATGAACTAATATTCATTGCCATTTCATTTTGGTATGGTATTTTCCATTGTTCTTGAAGCTGTTCAGCTATGCAGCCAGTGAATTAGTATTTTCACTGTTGAAAATGGTTATGAGACACAGAAGGCTGTGAAGGGACAGCATGGGAAACTGAGGGCCTCATCAACAGGAGGTAAGGTGCTCTCAAAATTTCCACAGAGGTAGAGCTCATAAACATTGGGTAAGTATTATTTTTATGTGCCACAGCAAGCTCTTTGCTATCCCTGAAAGCCCTATAAGTTTCTCCGTTTCTGATCTAGACCTAGACACAAACAAGTACCAACAAGTGCAGAGTGCTAGGAGACAGGAAAAGAAAGCATAATGAAAATATACCCTTTTTCTTTAGAAACCACATTATCGGATTTAAAAATTTGAAGATAAGTGGAAGAAAACAGGAGACATAAGAGTTTAAAAGACAATTCACTGTGAAAAATCTCTTTGTCATATGGCTTTCATGGACTTCCCATACTGTAGGAATGGTGGTTTAACAGTGAATTAAAATCTATGGAGTATAACATTGTAAGAGGACCAATCATACCAAAGGTTACCTGTCATTTCACGCTTTTTCTTTCTTGTTGGGGCATAGCACAGTGAGGTTTTCAGATATATAATGTATCACATGTCTCAGTTCAAATGATTCATGAATCACAGCTCTAATGGATGCTGGCATATGTGCTGCATGTTGCTATTTTGCCACTTGTTTGTTTCTTTGTTGTGATACCTAAGGTTGAACGCCTCAACTTGCACTTGCCAGGCAGATATGTATCTTGCTGAGCTAAATCCCTGCTCACTGTATTTTGCCTCACTAAGATTCAGTTTCTACTAGTGTCAATAGAGTCAACATTCTTATAAAAAAAGCTTCTGTATAATCTGTAAGAAAACTTCCTACTACTCAAGGAATTCAGGCCTAAGATTCATAATCACTGTTTTGAATAACTGTATCTACCAGTCATTAAGGAATGATTGTAGACTACTTTCTTAACAATCAAAATATGAGACACCATACATACATACTTGTAAGAGTCTGCTTTTGAGAAAATCTATCTGCTTGCAATCAAGAACATATCAATACTGAGATGAAATGAAGTGGAAACACAGTGGGCTTGTTCGTAAGGAAAGCTTAGTCTAGGTAAACATCAGACTTACTGGAAGCACTTTTCCTCACTGTGGTGAACTGAGAGATGTGATGGTGGGGACCAGTGAACCTCTTGCCACAGCCTCCTGAGTTAACTGGGACTCAGGAAGGTGCCAGAAGGATCAACTCTCCAGCAAGCACCCACAAACTTGAAAACAACTCGGAATTTTATAGTAAGTTTTGTGGATACCTGTGAAGTACCCCGGGTCCAAGCTGGTAACATAGGGTATTGAGACATAAGTAAACAACACATTAAAAGTTGTTTTCTCTTATGCATATCAGCACTCTATTTGCAAGTATGGACAGCAATAATTACATCTGCACTGTTAATGTCAAAGCCTTCCAAACATTTGGAGAAAAAAACTGACATGATTCTGGGCACATCAAACACTTTAAGGTACTGTGATTTTTCCAGAGTCATCTGTATTGCTTCATTTACCTAGTTGGAATGTCGGTATAACTTTCATTCTTACTGCTTTCTTCACAACAGAATCTTTTTCTTCCATGGCAGCCTGAATGGGTTTTAAAGTAAAATGGTTAGTAAACACTCCACAGCTCCAAACTATGCAGTTAATTCAGAACACAAATATACAGTCATTACCTTCCCGTGAAGATGTGTGTCACCTGATTCTGTAAAGGAAAAAGGAAAAATAAACTTTATAAGGAAATATGGGAAAGCCAAAGACACATTCTTGTACTGTGAGGCTTTGGCTGAATCTTCATGCTTTGCTTTGGAAACCCAAATCATGCAACACAGTGAGAACAACTGCCTGACACAAACACAGGTCTGATATTCATCAGTTTTTACCCAGTAAGGTTGACTCACCAGATTCTGGGAATGCTGATGGACTCTTCATCACGGATTCTGCCAGAAGTGGATGTTGATGGCCAAGCATCAATTTCTCAGATCTCTTCAGAGTCTCATTAGACTCGGTGAAACTCCAATCTGAATCAGAACAAAAAGTTTTACTTATTAGGATGTAATGACAATACAAAATAATTAATATATCAACCCTTTCCTCAGAAGTACTCTCATGTATTTCTCTGCCCCACAGTCCAATAATTGTTCCACTGCTTCTGTGCTTGACACTCACTAAGCCAAGTCTGATTGTTACCATCATCTCTCTTTCTTCTGTTTTAACTTAGTAGTATTGTGATTTTCCAACAATCTCTTTAATTTTTTTTTGTTTTCTTTTTTTGGGTGGGGTATACCATGGATCGAACTCATGACCTTGTGTTTCCCATGAAGGCACTTATACCACTGAACTAAATCCCCTGCTCCACTCTTTAGTTTTTAGTACTCTTGATTGTTAAAACTTTAGGGATATGAATTATATTTCACTGCTTTGAGATGTTAAGTGTGTAAAGAATGAGCAAAGTGTATAAAAGGCATTGTGAAATAGGGAGCAATTCTTCTAGAGAAAGGGGAAGCAAAGAAGAGGCAGGGTGGATGGAAAGAATGGGGACAAAGACTCCACTGGTTAAGTGAAATGAGTCACAAGCACAAATTTCAATATCATATTGTTTGCTAGTGGGAGAAACTGAAAAGTGTAATGGCCCAACTGTGCAAAAGATAGAAAATATTCAAATAGAAATGGTAAAGTGGTGGGAGGGTAAGGAAGTAAAGGATGTAAAGGGAAAAAAAGGAGCAAACAGAAGAAAATGGAAACAAAATTTTTAAATAAGGACAGTAAGATAAGGAGTTGAAGGGAGAAGAAGTGACTAGGGGAAAAATAAATAAGACTATCAGGTACAGGGAGAAACTTCCTTTAATGAATGTGATCCTTATGGATATCTAAAATGCACCAATGAAAGCAATTCGAAAAAATACATGAAAATTATCCACTTGAATATAAACACACTATTTTTTCCCCAGTCAAAGGTATGGATGTGAATGAATATTCTACTTTCAAATGGGGAACTACAATGAGATACATTCTTCAATACATCAGTGTTGTGAGAATTCCCTTCTCCGGGTTTTGATAACATCATAAATTCCTAAGAAAAGTGCTAGCTTTCAGTGACCTAAATGTGCTCATGTGCAAACTGGTTTATTCCAGGTGAATCGTGGTGAACCTTTGGCACATGTTGCACAGTGGGCTCTTTGCCATCATTGAAAGGCCTAGAAGTTTGCTGTCTCTGACCTAGGTTCACATTAGTGAATGCAGAGCACCAGGAGACAGCAAAGGAGAGCATAATGAAAATATATCTTTTTTTCTTTATAAATCACATTGGAAGATTTGCAAATTTTAACACAAGTCAAAACAAACAGGAGACATAAGAGTTTAAAAGGCATTTCCCAGTGAAGAAGTTTTTTATCATATGGCTTTCGTGGATTTCCCATGTTTTTGGAATGGTAGTTTAACAGTGCATTAGAATTGTTGGAGGCTTAGGTTCTAAGAAGACCAATCATATGAAAAGTTATGTTCCATTTCATGCTGATTCTCTTTCTTGTTCAGGCATAGCACAGCGGGTTTTCAGAGATGTAATATGTCATGTGTCACAGTTCAAAAGATTCTGAATCACAGCTCTCATGAATGTCGACATATGTATGCATGCCACTATTTTAATGCTTTCTTGCTTGTTTCTTTCTTTCTTTTTGCACCTTGGATCAAACTCATCATCTTGTACTTGGCAAGCAGACACTCATGCTGCTGAATTTAATCCCAGGTCCCTATATTTTACCTCTTTCAGATTCAGTTTCTTCTACAGTGTCAATAGATTTCAACATGCTTAAAAATAAAAGGTCCTGTAGAATCTGTAAGAACCTTAACTACTATACAAGGAATCAGACCTAAGTTTCACAATCACTGGTCTGTAAAATTCTATCTAGCAGGCACCAAGGAATGATTATAGACCCCATTCTTACTAATCAAACTGTTACACACCATACATACACATTCATACAGTCTGCTTTTGTGAACATCTGTCTGCTTGCAAACATGAATATTCTAATAATTAGATGAAATAGAATGGAAATGCATTTGGCTTGTTATTAAGGAAAGCTTTAGTCAAGGTACAAATCAGAATTACTGGAGGCATTTTTGCTGGTGATGTTGAACTGAGAGATAAGGTCCTGGGTACCAGTGAACCTCTTACCACAACTTCCTGAATTAATAGGGACTCAGGGATGTGCCAGAGGACCCAGCACTCCACCAAGAATCCACAAACTTTCAAACCATCTTCAAATATTATAGTTAGATCTGTGGATCCCTGTGAAATATAAGAATCCAAATTGGGAGAGTTTAAGATCATTGCTCCCAGTGGTTAAGTGCCCGCCCAGCTTCCAGCCACACTATACTGATCTCTGCAGCTTTCACGGACTCAAATGGACTATACGCTGTGACCTTCTTCAATCAGTGGAGATGAATGCATTGGAGGTTAGTTCTAGCACATTGGTGCTAGCCTAGGGAGACATTTGGACCATCCCTAACCCTGGTTAGGAGCTCACCCAGCTTTCTGAAACACTGGAGATGGCATGAAAGTTCCTGTGGGTATGACTGGACCATGATCTGCAACCTCCATTCAGTCCCAGGAGCCAAGGGCACAGGAGACAATTACCAACACACCCAGGGGAAGCTTTGGAACATCTTTTGAAACACAGAATTCTAGGAAAATGACAAGACAGAAGACCAAAATGCAATATCAAACCTCCAGCCCATCCCAAGATAGCCTGGAAACCATATACATAGAAGAAAATATATGCCATATACCTGAAATATCTGAAATAATATGAAATGAATTAAAGAAGCAACTCTGAGAAGTTTTAAAGGAATTCAAATTAGAAATAATCTCTCAAGTAAAAGAAGAAATGATAAAGGTAATAAAAGAAATGCTGAACATATCTAAAGAAGACACAGTTAAATAATTAGAGGAATAATGTAAAAACATAGAATTCATGGATGAACAGTTTAAGAAACAGAATGCATGAAGCAGATTCAAAGAGATATACAGGAAAACAAAAATTTCATTGAAAGTTGTCAAAACTGTCACAAGGAGTGAAGATAGAACTTCAGACCTCGAAGACAAGATTTCAGCTAGTGAACAGGAAAGATATTTTAAAAATAACAAGGAATCAGGAGATAACAATTCAAGCAATGCAACATGATGCAAATAAAAACAAGAGATTGATAGGGATAAATGAAAAAGAAGGGGACAACACAAATGATATGAAGAGGCTATTTACACAAGTAGTAGCTGAAAATTTCCCAAACATGAAAATGGAAACTGACATATGGATTAGTGAAACATATAGAACTCCAAATAGCCATAACCACCCAGACATATAATAATCACCACCCAGAAATCAAACATAAGAATAGAATATTAAAAGCTGTTAAAGAGAAAAGACAGACCACCTATAAAGGAAAACATATAAGAATCACAGAAGGCTTCTCAACACAAACAATGAAGTCAAGAAGAGCATGGAGCGAAGTATTTCAGATCCTAAAAGAAAATGACTTCTAACCCAGACTGATATACCCTGAAAAGCTGTCCTTCAAAATGGATGGAGAAATAAGATACTTCCATGACAAAGAACAGCTGACGAACTTCATAAATACCAAACCAATCTGGAAAAGAATACTGAAACACATTCTAGATACACATAGGAAAAGACTACTAAGCAATATTTACCTCGATATGATAAAGGACATCTATGACATACCAATTAAACAGAATAGAAAGGTAAAGATACAACAGCAGAAAGAAAACATGTCAACAATAAAGCAGTGTAGAACAGCTATAACCATTAATGTAAATGGATTCAATTCATCCATTGAAAGAAACAGACTGGCAGAATGGATTAAGAAACAACATCAAATCAAACTCTGTCCACAAGAAACCCATCTAACCCAAAAGGAAACTCATAGACTGAAAGTCAAAGGATGGAAAACAATACTTCATGCAACAGGAATTTAAAAAATTAGGGGTAACTATTCTATTTGCAGACAATGTGAACTTGAAACCAAGAATAATCCAAAGAGATAAAGAAGGTCACTACATAGTAGTTTGGGGAAAACTTCAAGAGGAAGAGATAACAATCTTAAATATACATGCACCAAATTCCAGAACACCCAGCTATACAAAGCAAATATTAGCAGAAATGAAAAATCAAATAAGTAATAACACAATTATGACAGGAGACCTTAACACACCCTTGGCACTAAGGGAGAGATCAACCAGACAGAAAATCAGCAAACAAATAACAGAACTGAATCATAGCTGTGAACAAATGGATTTGATAAACGTATACAGTGTTCCATTCAACAACATCAGAATACATATTCTTATCAGCCGTACATGGGACATTCTTTAAAAGAGACCATATACTAGCCCATGGAACATATCTAAGTAAATGCAAAGGAGTTGAAATTATCCCATGCATTTTATCAAATCATAGGACAATGAAACTAGAAATTAATGATAAAAGAAATGGCAAGAATCCCCCAAACACATGGAAATTGAATAATACACTCTTGAGCATTCAGTGAGTCACAAAGGAAATTAAAAGAGAAATTAAACAATACCTACAAGCAAATGAAAATATAAATACAACTTACCAGAATCTGTGTGATGCAATGAAAGCAGCCCTCAGAGAAAAATTACACTGAGCTCCCGCATCGGGATTATAGAACAAAAACAAGCAACTTGATGCTACACCTCAAACATCTAGAAAAAGAAGAGCAAGTCAAGCTCAAAGCCATAAGAATGGAGTAAATCATAAAAATCAGAGCAGAAATTAATGCAATAGAGACTAAGAAAACAATATAAAGAATCAATGAAGCAAAGAGTTGGTTCTTTGAAAGAATAAATAAAATTGATAATCCACTAACCAACCTTTTTTTAAAAAAGGAAAGAAAAAACTCAAATTCATGCAATAAGGAATGAAAAAGGTGAAGTCACTGCAGACTGCAGAAACACAAAAGATCATTAACACCTATTTCAAAAACCTCTACTTTCATAGGTTCGATGACACAGAAGATATAGACAGATTCCTAGAAACATATAAACTACCAAAGCTGGGTCAAGAAGATGTCAAACTGCTGAATAACCCAAATTCAATTAATGAAATTGAAAACATAATTAAGTCCTTACCTACAAAGAAGAGCCCAGGCCCACGTGGATTCACTGTGGAATCCTACAAGAAATACAATGAAGACTTAATGCCAACACTCCTCAAACTCCTCAATGAAATCAAAAGGAAAGCAATTCTTCCCAAGTCATTCCTGGAAGCAACTGTTACCCTACTACCAAAATCTGAGAAGGACCCAACTAAAAAAGATCTTCCTAAAGAACATAGATGCAAAAATCCTCATTAAGATATTGGCAAACAGGATACAGCAAATCATCAAGAAGATTACACACCATGACCAAGTGGGATGCATCCCATCCATGCAGGGATGGTTCAACAAACATAAATCAATAAATGTAATCCTACATATCAATAGAGCCAAAAGTAACAATCACATGATCATTTCTATAGATGCAGAAAAGCTTTTGATAAGATCCAACACTTATCCATGAGAAGAATCTTACAGAAAATTGGAATAGATGGTCTTTACATCAGTATGATAAAAGACATCAATGACATACCAAGAGCCAGAATCATATTAAATGGCAAAGAACTGAAGGCCTTTACCTAAAAATCAGGCACAAGACAAGGATGTCCCTCATCACCGCTCCTATTTAACATAGTACTGGAAATACTAGCCAGAGCAATTAGACAAGAGAGAGAAATAAAAGGAGTAAACATAGGAAAAGAGGAAGTTAAATTATCATTATTTGCAGATGACATGATACTCTACACAGAAGACCCCCAAAACTCCATTGAAAGACTTCTAGATATAATAAATAAGTTCAGCAGTGCAGCTGGATACAAAGTCAATACTCAAAAATCAATTGCATTCCTATACACTAACAACAAAATCACAGACAGAGAAATAAGAGAAGCCACACCCTTCACACTGGCATCCAAAAATATGAAATATTTAGGAATTAATCTCACAATACAAGTAAAAGAATTACAGGGAAAATTATAATACCCTGAAAGAAGAAATTGAAGACATCAGAAAATGGGAAGACATCCATTGTTCATGGATAAGAATAAATATTGTGAAAATGATCATTCGCCCAAAAGTGTTATATACAGATGCAATGAAATCCCAATGAAAATACCATTAACAAACCTTACAGATCTAGAGAAATAATGCCTAAAATTCACCTGGAACCAAAAGAGACCTAGAGTAACCAAAGCAGTTTGAAGTAGCAAAGGCAAGACAGGAGGCATCACTATCCCTGACTTGAAGTTATACTACAGAGTTTCTGTAATAAAATCAGCATGGTACTGGAATAAATATGGATCTGAAGATCAATGGAATAGATTATTAGAAGACACAATCATAACTGCAAACACACTCAACCACCTTATCTTTGATAAAGACATGTTCACTGGAAGAATGACAGTCTCTTTAATAAATGGTGCTGGAAAAATGGCTCCTCATATGCCGAAAACTACACCTAGACTCATGCCTATCACCATGTACTAAACTAAAATCTAAATGGATCAAAGATCTGAATATTAAAACAGAAACACTAAATCTGCTGGAAGACAAAAATCTTGAATCTTAGATAAAAATCTTGAAAACATAAGGGTAGGTAGGGAATTCATGAACAGGAATCAAACCACACAAGAAATACTTCCCAGAATCAATAACTGGGATGATGTCCTATTAAAAAGTTTGTGCATGTCAAAAGAAGTCTCCAGCAGAGTGAAAATAAAACCCACAAACTGGGAAAAAAAATTCTCACTAAACTGTCCCTCAGACAAAGGACTTTTAAAACATATAAAGAATTTTTTTTAAAAAATGAGACCCCTGAAATTCAAAGACCCAATCCAAAAATGGGCATCTGAGATGAATACACGTTCTCAGATGAAGAAATGCAAATGGCAAATAAATACATGAAAAAATATTCATCATCATCAGTCTTTAGAGAAATTCAAATTAAAACAACACTGAGATTCCATCTTACTCCAGAAAGAATGACCAGGATCAAGAAAACTACCAACAACAAATGCTGGAGAGAGTGTGGGGAAAAAGGAACTCTCCTGCACTGCTGGTGGGAGTGTAGACTGGTGCCACCACTGGGGAGATCAGTCTCGACATTCCTCAAAAAGCTGAGATTGGAAGTCCCATTTGACCCAGCTATTTCACTTCTGGGCATATTCCCAGAAGAACTGAAAACACCATTCCACAGTGATATATGTGCACCCATGTTCATAATAGCACAATTTGTAATAGCCATATCTTGGAAACAGTCTAAGTGTCCATCAACTGAGGAATGGATAAAAAAGATGTGGTATTTCTATACAATGGAGTACTACTCAGCTATAAAGAAGGATCACATTGAGATATCTATAAATAAATGGATGCAACTTGAGACCATACTCATAAGCAAAATAAAAACTCATATTTAAATACCATATAGTCTCCCTAATGCAAGACATGGTAAGAGTACAAAAGGATTTATGGTAGTCTTGATTCCCCATTACATTGCTTTGAAGCCTTATAATGTTTTCATTAATTAGTTGGAATGGTTTTATTCTGTTTTGTTTGATTTGATTGTGTGTGATGGTATGAACAGCTATTTTGAAGAAAACAAGACATTATGGCAGCCATTGCACTGATGTAATATCATCTTGTTTTGAAGCCCTACTATGCTTTTGTTCTTATGTTTCCATTGGTTCTATCATGTTGCGTCTTATTGGATTTTAATATATGTGATAGTATAAACAAATTTGCTATAGAAAAAGAGTTAATATCATAGCCATTATTAATTTTCTGTTCTTTGGTTCTGAATGCCCTATAATACTTTTATTCTCCTGAATAGTTTTACACTATTTTGTTATGTTTGATACTATTATATGTGAAGGTATACGCAAGTATTTCAAATTTTGGTTGCTACTGTTAATATCCAGTTGTCTTGTAGTGAAGTGCTGTATTGCTTACATTGTTCTGCTCTGACCTGCTTTGTTCTGTCTTCTTTTGTCTTAATCTCTTTAAAATAAAACTTAAAATTGTCAATAAAAAAGGATGCAAACTGGGAACATTGGGTATTGAAACATAAGTAAACAACACATTAAAAGTTGTTTTCTCTTGTGCTTTTTAGCACCTATTTGCAAACACAGACACCAATACTTACATCTTCAGTGTTTATGTCAAAGCTTTCCAAAATTTGGAGAAAAAATGGAGATGATTGTGGGTACATCAAACACAGTAAGCTACTGTATTTCTTTCCAGAGTCATGTGTATTGCTAGATTTACCTGGTTGAAATGTCTTTACATCCTTTATTCCTACTGCTTTCTTCGCAACACAATCTTTTGCTTCCATGGCAGGCTGAATGGGTTTTAAAGTCAAATGCTTAATGAACACTCCACAGCTCCAAAATGTGAAGTTGATTCAGAACACAAATATACAGTCATTACCTTCAAGTGAAGATGTGTGTCAGGTAAATCTAAAAAGGAAAATGAAAAATAATCTATATAAGAAAATATGAGAAAGCCAAACATACATTCTCACAGAGTTAGGATACATGCTTTGCTTTGGAAATGAGTTCTTCAGATTTTTGACTTTGCTTTCCCATTGGTCAGATCAATATGAGAGAAAAATTAGAATACAGGTTGAACATGATTTCCAATGTGACATTATTCTTCCAAATGCCATAACTAAACAGGAAGTGAGTATATACCAATCTATACATGTCGGGTGTTGTGAAAAAGTGATTTTGGGATCCATCATGACCCTGAGAGGCTGACTGTCAAAGCTGAAAGAAGAGAACAGCATATAAATTGAACAAACCACATCATCCATTGGTACAGCATTGCACTACACATAGGTGCTCTCGAGACACCCAGCACAGCAGAGCTCACAAACGGTGTGTCAATGCTATTTATGTTTTAAAAGATGAGGTTTTGTTATGCTGCCAAGGTGCCCTTAAATTCCTGCAAATGAGTGATCCCTCTCCCTCAAATTTTCAAATAGCTCGAACTGAAAGCATACGCACCATGCCTAGTGAGATTTTTATACACTACTCATCAATATCATTACTCCTTACACAAGCAGGTTTTGTGAAAGTTGGGGACATGGCTGAGGAGAAGCTACGTGGGAATTTCTCAGTGATTTCCACTGATACCGCATTGAAGGAATGAACCAAAGAGTGTCTCTATGTTACTTTTTAAAGGATTTGTGTGAAAAAGCTATTTTATCACAACTTACTTATCTTAAAATGAGTCAATGCTTCTATGTGTACATTAATGTCACTTGAATAATTATCAATTTAACAGAAATCTCTGATGCCTGATAGTTTAGGAGGGGAGGGAAGTACCTACAGTGTAAGGCAAGTCTAGCCCTTGTCCCTGCTTCTAATCATCTCTGCAGCAGCAAGAATCGACTTTGCCATTTGTGAGCACAAACACTGAAGCTGTGAGGAGTAAGTGCTCTCATGTTTCATCATTTGTTCCAAAATTATGTTTAGCTTTGTTATTTCCTATTTTTTTCCCCCAATAAATCCCTGTTCCTCTCCCAACTGACCTCTAGTTCGATGGTCTTGATTGTTTCCATTTACTGCTTTTTATGGATTATTCCTACCATTCCTTTCTTTATTTGGCAGAAATGGCAGTAGTATCTTAGAATTACAATTTGTTTTTCATCTCTTTACTCTTTCCCCCTTTGGCTAGAAATATTTTCAGAAATAAAAACAAGATTTATGGGATGAGGCTGAGGAGGCGTATGATTCCCATTCAGTCTCTGGTCCCAGGAGGGAGCTCTCTAGGGGCACGACCTACCGCAGCAGTCCTGCCCTGGGGGAGTGCTGAGCTGTGGTGGAGCTTAGGACAGGGAGAACAGGTCAGACACTGGGAGCCTCATGCATCTGCTCTGTTACCTTCAGTGATACCACTTCATAAGAGTCCAGAAGGGTGGCTTTTCAATTGTTCCACCTCATTGCCTCTTAAATTTGCCTTTGGGGACTTGCAGATCCAGAGTTACATTTGGCTTCTATGTCTTCACATTTTCTATTTTTATTTCAGTGAAATTGCTGCACTGATCCTTATAAATTGTTTATGGTAGTTATCTTTATTGCTGCTATCAATAGCAATGACTTGGGAAATTACTACTCCTCAGAGACATCTTCAAGTTGTAGCTGACTTTTGAGTGTTGATTCTGTTATAAGATTGTCCTTGTTCAGCAGTCACGGGAAAGATGGTGGATCAGTAAGTAACAAGGTACAGAGCCTCTCTGGGAGAAACAGCTCAGACACTTAGAATTTACCACCATGCAGAAGACTGGGTGAAAGGAAATGGACTCTCAATGACTCAGGAAGAAACTGAGGAAAAAGATTTAAAAAAAAAAAGAAAAGAAAAATGTGGACAGAAGGCTGAAGCCAGAAGCACGCTCACCAGAGCCAGTCCAACTCACGGGTGTGGCACTCTCACCTGAGCCAGTTGGACTCGCGTGGCAGTGCTCTCACTGGAGCCACAGTTGTGCTGAAGTCAGGGTTTGGTAAGCCCAATGGAGGACAGAGCCAGTGTGGAGACCTGCACTAACCTGCAATGAGTGCTCAGAATCTGGCCCTCCTGGGAGAGATTAGGTGACCAACCAGATGACATATTGATATTGGACAGGATGGGCCAGAACAAGGAATGGCAGTGACTTCAGTTGGCTGCTCCCTGCCAAGAGCACATGGGTGGGATCTGATAGAGCTGGGTCATGCCTTTGGCCAGCACCCAATAGCCAGAGTTGAAATTGTCCCTGACATTTTCCTAAACCAGTTCCATCCTCGCTGCACAAACTAATGTGGTGAAGGCCTCCACTGGTTGACTGGCTCAGAGGGTAGGGGCCATCCTACACCACCCCTGCTTGCACCTCAATGACCAACAACAAAATGGAGAAGGCTGCAATCCCTAGCCAGCGCACTTCATGAGAACCATAACCAATAGGAAAGGGGCTGGGACCTTCACGATACACCTGTATTGAGGAAGCAAGATACATAACAAGAGAAAGAAGTTAGAAAAAGCCTCCAGTCAACCCAGGGAATATGGGGGCCAGGAGAGGTATATACCGAACAGATTGAGGGCAGGAAACATGAGATATTTGACATGGTATCAGCTGACATAAAGAAATATCTTCATGACATTATAGATGAACTGAAAACTGAAATATTAATACAACTACAGTAAGATGTAAGATTAATAAAAGAAATGCTAAGCCCCTCCCAAGAAGACATAGATAGAAAAATGGAGGAACACGAAAAAGGAGAGAAACCTTCATAGAAGACCATAAAATAAAACTAGAATACATGCAACAGAGTCAAAGAGATTACCGGGAAATTTAAAACTACATTGAAAGATAGCAAAATTGCCTGAAGGAAACTAGGGATACATTAACAAAACTTGATAGGTTTGCAATGTGTGATTGTGAAAGGAAAGATCTCTTAAAAATAACAAAGAAATAGGCAGTAACAATACAAAGGCTAGAAGACAACAAGAGGATGATCCATAGTTTAAGAATAAAAATGAGTGAAGAAGCAGGAGTAAACACAAAGCAGATACAAAGGCTATTCACAGAAATAATTAAGAAAAACTTCCCAGGCATAGGAAAAGGAAATGATATTCAGCTGTTTGAGGCATACAGAACTCCAGCCACCTAAAACAAAACTGAGCTACCACCCAGACATATAATAATCAAGATCCCAGAAATTCATCCCAAGAACAGAATATTGAAAGCTGTCAGAGAAAAGAAATAGATCACCTCTAAAGGAAAACCCATCAAACTCATGACAGACTTCTTGACACAAACCATCAAATCAAGAAGAACTTGAAGTGAATTATTCCAAGCCTTGAAAGAAAATAACCTCCAATCCAGATTGACATACCCTGAAAAACTGTCTCTCAAAATTAATGGAGAAACAAGATGCTTCCATGACAAAGAGGAACTGGGGGAGTTCGTGACCACCAACCCAACCCTACAAAAAATACTGAAGGACATTCTAGAGAGGGAGAAAAAAACCCCAGGATTTCAGGAACAGTGGCAGAGAGGCCTCAATGAATGGGGCAGACAATGGAATGAAGGAGAAAAGTAGACAACCAATAGCAGAAAAATAGCATAGCAGAAATGAGGCAGAGAAGGTTGGCTATAATCTCTAACATAGATGGCCTTGATACACTAACAAAAAGAAACACAGGCAGAGTAGATCAGGAGATAGGGCCCATCGAAAATTTCCTCTGTATGGGAAATATAATTAACGTGAAAGAGGGTTTATGGACCAAAAGTCAAATATGAAAAAACAATGCTCTATGTGACAGGGAACCAGAGAGAAATAGGGGCAGCTCGTCCAGCACCTGAAGATCGCTTGGAAAGACATGATACTTATGCAGTGGAGAAAAAGCTATAATGAAGCAAAAGCCTTGAGGCTTTTGTACGTGCAGGAAAACAACTTAAGATCAAGCCCAGGGGTAAAAAGTTTCAGAACCACTTGGGTAAATAACAGCTTGCATCCCTAACCTACAAACTAAAGGGAATTAGTGGGAACCAAAATGTACAATGTACCCCATGAAAGTGAAAGTAAAAGGGAAGGAATTGTCTAAAAAGGAAGGCAGAGGACATTGTTAATAGTGTACCACGATTTAAAATCCACATTGTTCTTATCATTTTGTTTAGTTTGGTTATATTTTATTCCAGCCTGTCTACCTGTAGTAGACTTAATGGCCAGACAGCTACTCCAAAAATAGCAGGATATACCACAGTAACCATCCTTAATTTCCTATTAACTTAATCTGAAGCCCTGTATTACTTATACTGTCTTATTATGACTGATCTTATTTGAATCTGGTTTCTCAGATCACTGTCTCGTCTTGACTGATCTTATTCAAATCTGTTATGATTTGATAGTATCAAGTCTGAGAGTATAGACAACTACACTGAAGATGACAGGATTTACTAGGATACCCACTCTGGTTTGATTATTACCTGCTTTTGAAGTCTTATAATGTCTCCAATGTTTTGTTTTTATTAATATTGTTATATACTGCTATGTTCAATTATACTATGCCTGATGATATAGACAATTCTATTGAAGATAACAAGAGACATCATAGTAACCATGTAGGTCACCTTGTGTCATGGTTTTATATTACTTTTTCATTTTGTGTTTTACTAGGAGTTTTTGTTTTGTCTTGTTTTGTTTTTCCCTCCAATACAGAAAGGATAGCTATCCATATAGAGACTCGTGCATGTGTAGAACTTCTAAACAGTTTATGAGAACTGATTATATAATGCACAATAAAATGAACAACTACTTTGAAGAAAAAGAGACACTAAGGGACCCAGTTCTGATTCCGTAGCATCATGATGTGAAATCCAGCAAATTATTATTCTTTATTCCAAGTGATTTTAGTCTGTTTTGTTTAATTTCAAAATGCATGAAGGAATGGACAGTGATTTTGAAGAGAATGAGGAACACTATGACAGCCATTGTCGACTTCCTTATTGTCTGGTCTTGAAGCCGTAAAATGCCTTCACCATCCTGTTTGGATCAGTTTTATACTATGTTGTTTTGTATAAATTCACTGTATGTGAAGATATGGACAAGTATTTGGAAGAAAACAAGAGAAAGTATAACAGATAGTGAAGATCTACTGATGTCTTGCTTTGAAATGTGTCTCTTACACTGCTTTCTTATGTTTTGTTTTGTTATCTTTTGTTATGCTTAATTTTACTGTTTAAAATAAAATTAAGAAAAAAAGATTTATGCTCCCCCTTGACCCTGTTATGTCTTGATCTAGTTCTCAACTTATGGTTCTTCTCCAGATTTCTCTACAGGAAACTTGATATTGGGCCACCTCCAGTGGTCTGAGGATGAGTGGTGTCAGCCTTTCCAGAGAACTTACTACCAATACACCTCCTCAGTCCTTGTGAATCAAATATGTGGTGTAACATGTTCCCCAACAGGGGCTTCCTTTCTTCACAAAAGATCTGGCACACACACTCTCTTCCAAATCCTCTTCCCTTCCCTGAGTCTCTTCCAAATCCTCTTCCCTTCCCTTCTTTCCCTTTTTGGAAAGTGGTGCTGACTTCCTCCTCATCATGTCACCCAAATTGAAAATGCACGAATGTCAACCACTTTCTTATGGACTTTTTACTGAGACTATGACTTTGCTGATCTCAAAAAGCATTCTTTTCTTTCTATTTTTTTACTGTCTCATTCTGGATACACTACATGATGAAACAGCAACTCTTTTTAAGTGGTAAAACTGTAAATGGAATTCTGCAACCAGCATTGTGGGAGAAGTAAGTTCATGAACCAAGGTACCAGTGAAACTACGCATATAGCTGACCTTGCTTGTTTATTCTGATCTGTAGTGAATAAAGAAGAGCTCTGCATAATCTAGTACTTCAGTCCTTGATGCCTTTCCAGTGGTAAGAAGACAGGGAAAGTGAAAAACTTCTGCTCTACTTCTCTATCAAGTTTTGCTACTCAATGCTCAATTGATACAATTTCTACACTTCTGCTACCTTGATCTTCCTTCTCTTAAGAATTACTTCATTTCAGGGGCTGGGGATTTAGCTCAGTGGCATAAGTGCCTGCCTTGCAAGCAGGCAGTCGTGAGTTCGATCCCTGGTACCAATAAAAAAGGAAAAAGACAAAAAAAAAAGAATTACTTCATTTTTCCACACTCCATACTTTGTTTTCTTTGTTTACTCCCTGTATTATTGCTTTCGCATTCTTCACTCCTTTCTTTCCTATTAATTTTCTAACTTCCCTCAGACATTAGAATGCCTTGAAATGGTGCTAACAAGGTAGCTCCCTCAGTGACCCTCAAATTAACCTATTACTTAAACTTCAAAGTATATAAAACTTACTACTGATTTACTTCTTTTTTCTTACTATCCAATTCATGGGTAGTTTTTTGACTATTATAATCCAGCAATGCTCTACTTTTAGCTAAATAACTATCAAATAACTTCTCTAAATAAATTACACATATTTCCTACCTTTTGTTTGTGTATTTCCTGCATGTTTTCCTCCATCATCTGCATCCCCAGGAAAAGGATCGACAGGCTGCTGTGGAAGATTCTCAGAGATACTCTGTGAAAATTCATATAGCAGTAATGAGTTACAGAAGCATTTCTTACTCATTTCCAAAGAAGCTATCTGATTTTTACCATCTTAAGGCAAGCAGGTTTAATAATGGGAAGCATATACTGAGAACCAAAATGTCTCCCATGTGAACCTTATGACAAGCCCAGTTGCTGTCTCCATATGGGTGCTGACTTTGTAAAGCAGGCATGGAATGCTACAGGAAGGATTCAGAGACAAAATTCTGTCTGACAAACCTATTTCATCCTAGCTTCACAAGAGTCAACAGTACGCTGCACTCTCCAATGAATGTAACATTGAAACATACAGATTTACATGAAGCCATTTTTATGAGTGCATGTTTGTGATATGTAACAATTACACGTGTTTTGGGGAACTGCTACATGAGTTATCATTTCTTGATTACCTTGGTTCCCTTTACACCCTAATATCACTTTCCCTTCCCTGAATAAACAAATTCTTATAAATATACTTGTTATTATTCAGCATTAAGCATTCTATTCACAGAAGTCATGTCACTGTTAAGATACTCGGCCAGTAAGAAACTTCAGAGAGCCATGCTGAGTAAAAACATCATTGCAGGCACTACTTCACTTGTGTAAACAAGGACTTGAAAGAAAAGCAATTCTGAGATAATATTTTTACTGATAGAAAAATGTTTGAAAATAAAAATATACTGATAACTTCATGTTATATTCAAGAACTAGCACATGAATATGAGATGTTATATACAACTCTTTCCCAATTAAGAAAAACTTTGAAAAAGTATGAAAAAAGACTGCACCATAAAAACTTTTTTTACAAAGTGCCCCCAATTTACAACATACCGACTTACACATTTTCTTTTCTATCTGTTGCAAAACTGTAAATAACTGTGAGGAAGTAACTGCACTTCCTGCTTCCTGGTCACTGTAGGGTGCTGCAGTGATGGACAGACAGGGCTCATGGTCCTGCCCACAGTGTCCTCCTGGACTTTACTGTGCTGGCTCCTGTTCACTCTTATATTAGCAGCAGTTCACTCTCATTCCCATCTGTACTGAAACCCCCCTCGAAAATTCTTTAACATTTGCAGGCCTAGTGGTGCACACCTGTAATTCCAAACTTCTGGAAGGGTAAGGCATGACAAGCACCAGTTCAAGCCCAGTCTTGGGAATGTGGTTACATAGAAAGACCCTGTCTCAAGTCTAATATGGCTGGTGGTGTAGTGCCATGGGAAGGCCACAGGATGGACTCAAATTAATGAAATAAAAAGTGCTTCTTGTTCATTCGACTGCTCTATCATGATAACATAAGTCTTCACCTAAGATATTCAGTATCTCACTACTTGGTACACAGTGGTACTCTAAAACAGAGATTTATTCAAGTTCACATTTAAAATCTCTTCAGGGAAGCCTCAAGCACCAAGCCACTCTCTTCCTATATGCTGTCTCCATCAACAGTTTTACTAAGAGTTTTACCATTTACAAACCAGCAATCTACATGCCCCTCTCATCTTTCTTACTCTTTTCTTCACATTATTATTTTGCTGATCTCATGTTTAGGAAAAAATCTTCAATATTTATTCAGGTAAAACCTTTTATACTTTCAAAGTATTTTTATAATTTTTATCACAAATTTCCTATGACATATAGAAAGCATCACATAAGTAGTAGATCATGTGCCATCTTCATGGTATAATAAGGTCACCAAAAGCCAAATTCATTAAATTATGTTTCCAAGATTTAGCAGTTACTAACAGACAGAATACTAACACATCTTGTGACTTCAACCACCATCCTCGTACCACAATGCAGGAGCTGCATGGAACAAAGACATTAGCCCTTTCCCAAAATGCTCACTCTAGGGCCAGGGATTTAGCTCAGTGGCTGAAGTGCCTCTCTGGCAAGCACAAGGTTGTGAGTTTGAACCCCAGTAACCGAAAAACAAAACAGAACAAACAAAAAATCAAAATGTTCACTCTAACACAATTTGTCATTATTTACATTTTTATCAGTACAAGCATGGCTGCCATAAAGAGACTCACTGCATTCCACATTCAAAATTGGTTTCTGTTTTTTCAAATAATATAACACCAAACTGTGAGTATAACACCATGTATTGACATCTTGAGTCCTTGATTCTATTGAATTACTACGTTCAGATCGACACCAGGAAACCCAAACATATTAACTATTGCAATTATCATTTATTACTTTGTCAAGTAAAAAACTGTAAAAATTATGATCCAAACATTTTGTCTGAATCTCAGCAGAATTTTCACCCATTGGCCATAGACTGACTGGGAAAAATTCCTCAGATTTTGCTCAGCTTAGTTTCAGAATCCAAGCTGATTGCTTATGACATGTTGCTCCTAGTTTTTAACTGCACTGGCTTCCTTAAATGAATCTTACACAGGTAGCAAAGGTGTGCTCAGACTCCATTCATTTATTCCTTCACCTGCAGTACAAAGGATTCAGCACAGGGCAATTGCATTCATCTATGAACCCAGTGGCATTAACTCTTTGAGACATAATCATACTAAACAGCTAAGCTACACAGGAAATTAGGAACTGTGGTTAAAAACTATAAGGAAAAATTTCTTACAGGTATATGAACAGGTGAGAAAGTATAGTCAAATTTTCCCATTATATTTCAACCTCAACCAATTTTTATTTCAAAAATAATTACAGGCAATACCTCAGAATCCCAAGGAGATTCATCATCTGTCTGTGCTTCCAGTGGCAACACAGTATCTATAAAATGTAGTCACAGACACATTAGTTATATTCACTACAATAAATTTTACTCATGTATGCAAATCCATCTGCATTCATGAATATTTCACTAAGATACAAGTCAATGTGAAAAGAATTTCAGAAACAGGTTCAGAAATATGTTGGTGGAAGAAAAATAAGACAATAAAATTTTAAAAGAAATGGATATTATGTTTTGGATCTACACACATTTGAAAATAATAGCATATGAACAAGAACGATTTTCATAGCTAGTCACTAACTTACCAGTTTGAGGAGTTTTCTTCTCATCATCCACATTTGTCACATTTTTGGCTGTTTGCTCTTCTTGTGTTTTTACAAGAACAAACTTACCGTTTTCCAGCCATATAATTTTTGGCCTTTCTGCTTCTTTCTAACAAAAAAAAGGCAGAACAAAAACAAAAATAGCATTACGAAGCATGCAATTGCCCAGTGACCCACCCAGCATAATGGAAATAATCACGGGAAAAAATTTATCAAATCACAGTGACTACTCTGGGAAAAGCTGAAAACAGAAAGCACATTCTGCTCTGCACGGAAGTAGATGCAGATACATGAACACAAATGAAAACAGTGAAATGTGTTTCATTTATTCTACAAATGAGGTACAAAGATACACATCCAAATCAAGTACAATCAGTTCTATCTGGGAAGCTCAGGAAAGGCCATTTCTTTTGAAAGGGAGAGAAAGCACACAGGAAGGCTGTCTAGGGAAGTCAAATTATCACATTTACATTTAAACCTCAACCAATACTTATTTCAAAAATAATTACAAGTGATAGGCAACACCTCAGAATTCAAGAATACCATTTCATTTAAAGAACAAATGAAATACCTCAGAATTCAAAAAGGGACACCAGAAACAAAAGGATGAGGCATGAAACAATACAGCAAAAGAGGGCTGCCCAAGGAAGATGATACAACTAGAATAGTTTCCAGAAGGGCACAAACAGATAAAAAGGAGCAGCAAGGGGAACCACACAAGACTCATCTCAGGCTGGAATGGGAACTTTCCCTTTGTGAAAAGGGAATCTGCAGATTCTTGGCAGCAGTGTAAGATCAATGCCAGAGTTTAATGGGCAGCAGAGCATAAAAGAATATAATGTCTACATGATGGGTGAGAAAATGAGTCTAGAAATGAAAAACAGTTCTCAGAATGTAAAGAATAAGAAAGACTCGATAGTCATCAGAAGAGTGGCTGGGGCCAGGAATTCTCAGCTTCAGAGGTCTGGAGCCATCCAATATCATCGCGGAAAGGTCACACTCAAGGCCTGCAGAAAGACATCAAGCTGGAGGCCTGGGACTGCAGACACATTGTAGGAGGAGGGGAGAAGATGACCTCACTCAGGAAATCATATCAGTTCAAAAGGTGAAGTATTTGTAGAATACAGCAAACTGAGGTAGTAATGCTAACTATGCTATCCATGGTTCTGAAATTCCTCAAATGAAATCAAGGAGATGCCATTTTTCAATTATATACACTAACTTTTTTTCAGGAAATGAGCATAAACTTTTATTGATATATGTAAATGCTGACTTCTGGGACACTACATAAATATGATTTTAAAATTTAATCATAAGATTTAACACTAAAATATCCATTGAAGATTTTGCCAAAGATTCCTGTTCAAAGAAAAATCTTCCAGGATTTAATGAAATGGAGGCCTGCTGATGTGCACCTGTGTCCTGTGCTAATAGGGCAGCTGAGGTACGATGGTTCCTGAAGCTAGGAGTCAGAAGCCCAACTAATAAGTATAACCAGGTCCATTCTCAAAAAGGGAAACATATTGTAAATTATAGAAGGGAAATGGTGATATATTTACAGAATAAGGTATTTTTGCATACTACTATAACATGAGGGAGAAATGTAAAACCTTATTTAAAAATTCCTATTCTCCCAATAAATGGCATATCCCAATACTTCTAATTTTCTATTTATACCATATGCAATGACAGTTACAAATGGAAGAAAGGTTGCATGCTATTTACCACTACCTGAGAACTGAAGCATTTATAGTAGAGAGAGAAGAAAACACAGTATGTTCCATGAGTTTTTCATTCAGAGAAACAACTGCTAATCAGGATTCTATAGAAAAATTACACTTTGAAAAGATGCACCTAGTAAACATGGAGCTGGCTAAAAGAAAAGATTAATAAATTTTAAGATGACATTCTAACCTATGTTCAGAGTTAAAGGATACTACAATGTACTGTGTGTATCATACCTATTCATTCCTCTGATTTGTTTCCTTATTTGACATAACATTAAACATAACCTGAAATTATATATCCTAAGCACAGTAAGGAAATATACACTTTAGGGCATATTTTTAGAAACTCAATGTACTTATTTATTACATAAATCATGCATACATTACTTGAAAAGTTCTACTAGGTAGAAATCCATTCATTAACATTCAAATGGTATTAAAATGCCTCTTAATACAAAACACCGCACTGCAGGTCTTCAGAATTCACACAACATCTTTCTAATCTCCAGAAACTCACAGTACTGTGGGAGTTTTAAATGAATATTTGGAAGTACAAAAACTTCTGAAACTTGAAATGTCAGAATGAGATTTGGACACTTCAACTGTATATTTTAAAAACTATAATGCTTACAATTACTTAATCATTACCACTTGCTTTTTTAGACCATCTAGCTCTAGGACTGGTCATTATTTTGACCACAACAAGTATTCTTCAAAAAGATGAAAAATTTTAAAAATGTTATCCTCTTAATGGAGGAATCACTTAGAAAACACGGTGCAGGCAGGTGTAGTAGCACATTCAACCCAGCACTGAAGGTGAGGCTAAAGATCCCAAATTCCAGTCCTGATTAAAAAACAAATTCAATTAATTAAAAAAATGAGGACCAGGGGTAGACCTTCTTGCACAGGCCCTGTGATCAACTCCCAGGAACAAAAGAAATAAAATAGCAACAATGAAAATCCTGCACTTCTAAAGTTTGATGACACAGATACAGATAACTTTGATGAAACATTTTAAATTTCTAAGCTGTCACAGTTTCCAATATTATTTTAGTCCAACAACAGAACCAATAAAGGCAACAGAAAAGCTCTCATAAAAACAGTATGACAGTAAAATAAAATGTACTTAAAGGAAAAAATGTTTTATCTCTAAGTTGCTCAAATGAAGGCACCAAAGTTCCCTGATTATTGAAAGGACTAATAAGATCATAAAATATTTTTTAGGTATGAGTGCTATGAAGATCTTGGTAGTAAGATTTTCAAGCCATGGCAAGGTCCACTTATCCAAATGATCCTTGACCAAATATTGTATTTCCGCCATCATGGCAAAGGTTTAACAGACACAATTTTCCTGTCACTGTATGTTTTCTAACCCATTAGTTTTTTCAGTCACAAATACTTCAAAGTATGTACCAGTTATTTACCAAAGGGGTGGAAATTCTTTTTGACTAGGCATAGTTCTCTAAAATGAACTTCGTGGATCAATGTTCCATATAAATTCAGGGTAGCTACACCACTGTTAAATTTGAAGACTAAGTGCAATACAATGCAAAACTAAGAGGAAGAAAACTAACATTACGAAAGACACTTACCTTGTTATCCAGAAGAAAGTCAGTGTCATCTGATGTAGGCCAGGAATTAACAGGACCGGGTTTTCTGGAAGAGCTGGGGAGCAAAAACACACAATGGCAGTGGGTGAGTTTCATTCTTTAAAAACTGGTGAAAGCTTGGCTATCTGTGTATCAAATGATGGTTCGTGGTTGACACAACTAAAATTTAACTTGTAGTTTTGAAATATTTTAGATGTTTCCTTCTGTCTTCACTTATTCCAATCTACGAAACACTCAGCATAGTCTCACTTTCACTCCCAAAGCGTGACAGCCAAGAGACCAGCACAGTCTAAAAGTCATTTCTCTTTACAAATTGCCTCCTCTGAAGGCTGAAGTGAAAATGCAGTCAATGGCCAACAAAACTTGTTACCTGGACTCAAAAATGCCTGGTAACCTCAAGGTGAAAAGATTCACTGTCCCCTTTCCCTGGTCTGTCTCTGTTTCAATGACTAATCTGGTTGTGATGGTTTTGGTTTAAGTGTCCCCTTTAGTGGGAAGGTGTTTGGACCATGGGGACCCTATACTCAGCATGCCCTCATCCATCTGCAAGTTCAGTAGCTCACTGTGCCCTTAGCAGGTCGGGTCTGCTCTGAGGCAGGCCACTGGGTCCTGACCTGGATGGGTGAATTCTCACCCCTGGTTCTTCAGCCCTCTCACTGCTCCTGCCTGCAGGAGCTTTCCGCTACCTTGTCTCCCTGCTAAGGAATTTCTTCCTTGGAGCCTGAACTGAGTCAAAATAAATCTTTCCTCCTTTAAAACACTGGGGTTGAGCAATTTCCTCCATTAATGCAAAAGTTAGTGAAAGTCAGTTTGATGCTAAGTAACTCTGGAATGGCAGTCTTTTTCTACTATCAAAGCCCCTTACAGTAAGACAACTCTGTTTCTTCCCTTTACCATAAAAACAGGACATTGAACTATAAAAATATCTGAAGGTTAAAAGTATGGAAATCAAAGAAAAAAATGTGTATGTGAGTTGATAAATCTCTTCCCAGGGAAATTAAACTATTAAAAATTATAAAATCCAATTATTTTTCCTGTATGGCTTTGCTTTTTTCACCTACACATAAATTGGTGAAACTTTCATAGACACACTAACATTCAAGCAGGATCTAGCTGGAAAATCAGCCCTGGTAGCTGCTCCTCTGTTATCCTAAGTCTAATCTAAAGTCCTTCTGAAAGGGCTCCTACTCCTGGGCTGCTCAATGGAGGGCTCCACAAGAGTCTTCACCTAAACTTTTCAGTCTATGAAGGCATAGATTCCTGCAACAAGGATGAACTCAAGTAAGCAACAGTAGCTGTTCCTGAAAAGAAAGCTATTTGTGTCACAATCACCTACCCTCAGCAGAAGCAAGGGACTGATAATCAAATGGGCACGTCTGACTTCCAGGCCTACCTTCCATCTACAGGAAGCACATCAGCCAATGGAGTACAGAGGTGGAGGTGAGAGACATCTGTCCTGGGTCACAGGCCCATGAAGTTCAGCAACTTACGGTTCCCAGTGGACTTTGGGGCCTGAGCCACCCTACATGAACTGAGAAGGAAGGCGGCCATGGGACATTCCTCCCTGCTCTAGAGACTTCCCAATGGCTCACATTACCCTAACCAATCCAACACCAATCTTCAAGTTTCTCAGTTTCTCCAACTGAACAAAGGGGAACAATCTTTTCAGGTGTCTTTAAACCTCCACTTTTAATATGCCTTTTGAAACAAAGCTCACTAATTTGGGCTTCAATTTCTCTATTATCTTTATTAAACTTGTGACAAACCTCAACTTTCTGATTTCTAATACCCAAGTCTTGCCCAATTCGACGCTGCTCTTCAAACGTGCCTTCCCTCGTGAATTCTACTGTCATGCTCTCCCACTGGGCATGCTAGACCTGCTCCTCTCTTCTGCTATGGAAACTCTCACAGAAGGAGACATGAGGAAGTGTATTAGTCTCAGCAACGATAGAACCTGATTTCAATCTCATTTTTACCATGAACTATATTCAGATAAGTCACTTTAATATCATTGTGCTTCAAATTCTCTATGATACAACCATGTGGCTAGAATGTTAAGCAGGTTGAGGCAATAGAAGGTATTTTTATTGTTCTCTTAGATTCCTTAGAACCCAAAAGTCTACTTATTTTTTACTCTGTTTAAGGAACAATAAGAAATACTAAGCAGCATAAGCACTTGCCTTGCAAGCATGCAGTCATGAGATTTGATTTCTGGTACTAAAAAAAATACTAAGGCAGCAGAAATAAAAAAAAATACCAAGTAGAAGAAAAATTTTTTTAAAAGTCAAGAAAATATTTTACTTAAGAGGAAAAAAATCATAGAACTAGGCAGTAGTAATAGCCTGAAAGGAAAACCAAACTGGGAAATTGGTGAATAGACACATGCATTAAAAATGTCATTGCAATAAACCCTCAACATAAATAATATAAGATGATTTACATAAAGATAGTCTTAACTACCACATCTCCCCTAAGTTCTATAGTGGTAAAAACAAGAAACTGGCTATCAATTCAATCATTATCTTTAGAATAAACTCACCAACTTCTCAGGAAAACTAAGCAGACTTGACATGTCCCTTATGGTGACTTTCTACATTGATCTTAAAAGACCTGCATTTGGATCCCAGCACTGCAGAGGGCAATGGAAGGCATCTGGGAGCCAGGCAGGCTAACAGTCAACACATGGATCAGTTACTTCTTAATTATGAGACCATGGACCATTTAAATAACCTCCATTCATAAAAGCAGCCAAATTAATAAAACTGGATTAAAACAGCACAGGTACTTTGTCTGGCCTGGAACAGAACACTAAAAAAGATTATTTTCTTTTTCTGCACTCACTAATTAGTCACTGTATGATATTTAAAAACCTGTAAATTCTTACCTGGTTACAGATTCATCTTCAGAAATAGCAGGAGCTATTAAAGAAAAAGGTAAAATATATTTTGAATTAACAAAAATATAAACTATTAAAGTATAACTCTGATGTTTTGACACAAAATAGCCTTTTGGGCTGCATCTGTAGCCCATTCTACAATCAGTATTAATTATGCTATTGATATGCAATGCAATAAGAAATCTCACTTCCTATTTTTTATTTAAGAAATGCAGGGAAGAGAATTTACCTACATTTGATAGCTAAATGAGCAAAGTGCTGTGCACAATGACATACTACCTGAAGGTATTATATTGACAGAAATGGTACCATTAGCAGTATCGCTGGCATAAGCTGACATGGCAAACAAAGAGCATGACTTTCCTAGAGTAGTGGCACTAGGAACGATCATAAAAGATACACTTATTTTCTTAAGACACAAGGCAGCTGCTGTAGCATTCAGTTGGAACTGTAGAGTTTGAAGAGGAAATACTTTAGCTCAAGGAAGCTGTAAAGGGCATTCTAATTTGCAGCATGGCAAAATATGGGAAACACACCTGAAACAAGCACCATTGCAATGATTTCCAGCTCTCAGTGGAGAAGAGCTCAGGAGAAGTCTGTGCACTTACTCTTGCTATTCCTCTCCTAGGGAAGATTCTAAGGAACTCCCTTAGTTCTCCCTGGTTTCTCTGTCATATGTGTGATGCAAACAGGGCTCAAGTTCATCTGCTATCTTACTTCCCATGGAAAGAACCACTTCAGAGCTCAAGCCCTTACAAGCTGGTCCAGTCTGAAAAGCTTAAAAGCCAGCACCGGGGAGGTTGCAACCAGCTGCCAGGGAGCACTATCTTACATGGAATAATGAAAACATACAAATGAAACCACTAACTCACTGAGCCTCTCAGAATGTGACAAGTGAAAGACAAAATTTTACGTCATGTAAACTTTGGGAAAAAAACAAAACAACACAAAGAACCAAAAGCCTCTGATTTCCCGTGACAGAGAACCTATTCATACAAAGTCAGGGCTGTGGTCGGACTCAGTGGTAAACATGTGTGCACAGCACGCACAAGACCACTGAGTCCCTAGTACTGAAGGAGTGAGGACCAATAATAATAATGATAAAATCGGTCATGTTTTACTAACTTAACATGACTTGCACTTAAAGGAAGAGGAGCATTTTGACTCACCTATAGCTTTCATTACTCCCTCATCTTACTTCCCATCTCCAGGTAAGAATGAAAGACCTGAGGCACTTTGAGAAGCACAGCACTCGCCAGTGTCTGCTTCCATTCTCAAAGGTTCTGTCTGGACCCAACAGAACAAGGTGGTGCAGTTCGTGCTCTGAAGTTCAGCATGATGTCACTTTTGTCAACCCTCCTCATGATGAGGAATCCACATAGAAAGCAGGCCAGCTCAGCATGTGGAGCACATGCCATCAGCACATATTCATACAAGCATCAAAAACACAAAAACTAAGGCTGGAGGTATAGCTCCATGGTAAATCATTTACCTGGAATGGCCAAAGCACTGGCTTCAGTCCCTAGCAACATCCCCAATAAGAGGAAAAAAGGCAGTTCAAGTAACAGCTTTATTGGCTACATTCAGTTAGCTTGAACAGTTATTGCTTTTAATCTTCAAAAATTATCCACTGTATCATTTCAATGATGGAGCAGATCTGCTAAAATGATCACTGCCAGGAAAATGAAAAGTTCAGTTGTTTGCAGTATTGTTGGGGTGGTGCAGGGCCAGGGAGCCAATGAACAAATAGCACAAAGGAGCTGTCTGAGGCATGACACTGCTAAAGGAAACACACAACAAATTTCAATCCACCATCACATGAAGAATGCTAACAGTGAAACTTAGTGTTAAATGCAGACTTTGGATGGGAACCAAGGACCAGTGTAAGTCATCATCTACAACAAGTGTACTACTCTAGAGGACAGCAACGGCCATGGAGGGAGGCAACTCATGTGTGAGAGGTACATGATCAACTGCAAATCTCTGGATCTTCCTTTCAATTTTGCTGTGAACTTAAGCCTGATATTTAAAAAAAACAGTTTATAGTACAAAGAGTACAACTCTGTGGTAGAACACTTGCCTGATATAAATGGAATCTCAGGTTTTTTGGCAACCACTGCAAAAAAGAAAAGAATGGAACCGAAAAGAAAACAGAAGAGAAGAAACAAAGAATAAAACCTATTAATTAAAGATAGGTATTGAAAATATTACCACGTTATAGAAACTCAATGTACAATAGGAGATAATTTCAAGATCAAAGTAGCACACTATTAGTATCATCTCCTAAACCAAAGAGTGGAATATTATACAAAGCCATATAAATTAAATACTTAAGTGGGAAAATAATTCATAAGAGGGGCAACATTTTTAAGTCAAACACATTTGTTTAAAATATTAAAAGTTTAATCTTAATTCACACAAAGTAGCCATAGTGATTTAAAACATTTTCATGTACAGGAATTCAAGGAAAATTAAATGAATGAAGTATTTTAGGTTATAAATTTCCTATAATTCATTTCCTAAATTCTTCTAAATATGGAGTATTAACAAAAAATTAAACACAAATATAAATTGAACTGTAAATACACTTCACATTACAATAGAACCATGAGATGGGGAACACAAACAGTGAATCCTAACACTGACTGCAGACTTCACTTGGTAATGATGGGCCAGTGTAAGTCATTGTCTTACACTAAGTGTACTACTTTAGAGGAGGGCACTGCCTGTGGAGGGAGGCAACTCATGTGTGAGAGGCACACAGTCTACTGGAAATCTCTGGATCTTCCTTTCAATTTTGCCGTGAACTTAATCCTGATGTTTATAAATGTTCATAGTGCAAAGGGTACAGTTCAGTGGAGGGGCACTTGCCTTGCGTGAGTGGAGTGCCAGGTCTACCAATCCCTGGAAAAAAGAACACATAAAAAATAAAAGAGAAGAAACAAAGCTGTTAATTAAAGATAGTTACTGAACCCACTACTGCAGAAGATACAGAAACTCAGTATACCCCTGGAGATAATTACAAGATCAAAGTAGCACAGACTAGATATCATCTCCTAAACTGAAGAATAGGAAAATATGGAGAACAACGTAAGTTAAAATCTTGGGTGGGAAAATAATGTATAAGTGACTTAACATTTTATTTTTAGTCACAAAAAACTCTTCTCAGTGATACAATCATACAGTAATATGGTTTTTACTAAGTCTAATGCATTTATTAACATATTAAACCTTCACTATATGTTATTACACAGACACTAAACATAGTGATTTAAAACTCTTTTCATGTATAGGATTTCAGAAGTAAAAATTAATAAATGGAGTATTTTGGAATAAAATTTTCCTACACTTAATTTCTTAAATACTTCTGAATTCTGCAGTATTAAGAAAAAAACAAGAACAAATATAAATGCAGCAGTAAATATACTACACATTTGAACAGACCCATCAGATGGAGAACGCCAACAGTTTGCCCTAATGTTAACTGCCAACGTTAGATGATAACGTAACGATGGACCACTGTAAGTCATCATCTGTAACAAGGGTACTCCTCTAGGGGTGGGCACTGGCCATGGAGGGAAGCAAAACACTTTGTGTGAGAGGGACATGATCAATCAAAGCTCTCTGGATCTTCCTTTCAACTTTGCTGCGAACCTAAGCCAGACATAAAAAACAAAGTTCTTAGTGAAAAGGGTACAGCTCTGTGGTAGAGCACTTGCCTGACTTGAGTGGAGTCTCGGGTTGAGTGGCAACCACTGCAAAAAGGAAGACAATGGAACAGAAAAAAAAAGAGAATAAACAAAGAAACAAAGAAAAAAGGTATTATATAAAGTAAGTTAATGAATCTACTATTACCATGATACAGAAATTTAGTATACAATTGGAGATAATTCAAAAACACAGTAACAGTGTACAGATATCATCTCTTAAACCAAAGAGTAGGACCTTACACAGAATAATATAAATTACATACTTTAGTAGAAAAATAAACATTGATAAGTGACTTAAAATTTTATTTTTAATCACAAAAATCACTTTTCAGTAATACAACCATGTAGTAATATTCTTTTACTAAATCTAACACATTTACTTAAAAAATTAAAAGTTTACTCTAATGTTAGTACACACAAAGTAACCATACTAATTTAAAACTATTTTTCATGTATAGGATTTCAGAAGTAGAAATTAAAGAAGTGTAACATTTGGATTAAAAATTTCCTATAATCATCTCCTAAATTCTTCTGAATATGGAGTATTAACAAACAATTAAGAACAAACATAAATGCAACAGTAAATACCCTACACATTTGAATAGACCCATCAGATGGAGAACACTAACACTGAACCCTAACATTAACTGCAGATTCAGATTTTAAGGATAAGGGTAGACTCATGGTAAGTCATCGTCTATCACAAGTGTACTACTCTAGGGGAGCGCACTGGCCATAGAAGGAGGCAACTTATGTGTGAGAGGCACATGATCAACTGCAAATCTCTGGAGCTTCCTTTCAATTTTGCAGTGAATTTAAACCTGATATAAAAAAGCAAACTTCTTAGTGTAAAGGATACATCTCAGTGATAGCACACTTGCCTGGCCTGAATGGAGCCACAGGAAAAGGTTGAGGCTCTGCAAAAGGGAAGACAAAAGAAAACAACACAGGAAAAAGCTGTTAATTAAATGTAGTTACTGAAACTACTACTACCATGTTACAGAAACTCAGTATATACCTGGAGATAATTACAAGGTCAAAGTAGCACAGAATAGGTATCATCTCCTAAACCAAAGAATAGGAAAATATATAGAACAATATAAGTCACATACTTAGGCAAGAAAATAATTGATAGGTGACTTAACATTTTATTTTTATTCACAACAATCACTTCTTAGTGATACAATCATGTAGTAAAATGGTTTTACTAGGTCTAATGCATTTATTAAAATATTAAAACTTCACTATAATGTTAGTGCACAGATACTAGACCTACTGATTTAAAATACTTTATCATGTACAAGATTACAAAATTGAAAATTAAATACAAGGAATATTTTAAATCATAATTTCCTATACTTCATGTCTTAAATACTTATGAATTCTGGAATTTAACACAAAATCA